TTGAAAGGGAGTGAGGGAAGGCAGTGGGTGATGAAATACACGCCCACTGGTGGCTCCAGGAAGCCGTCCTCAGACAGGCTGGGCTCTGTGAGCACAGCTAGCTTATCTGGGCACAGACACTCCAGACCATGGCAAAGGGAAGCCCGGGCAGTTCCGTGATGTCAGCGCGGGCTCCCCACCTCCAAACTGTTAGGAAAATGGGATGTGGTGACAGCCGCCCTGTGACATTTCCAATCTCAGTGCCCATCAGTGTCCGGGTAGAGGGAGGCGGGGAGGAGAGGGGCTGTTGTGTGGCTCACTGGCGATGGCCTTTGCCAGGTTCTCTCATTTCCTGTCCATCTGCCAAAAATCACACACTGATGGTGACCATCACTGGCCTGTGGGGGACACTGTGACCTGACCTTCTACAGAGAAACAAAAATGAAGGACCCCAAATGAAGACAGGCCTGGGGACCATGGTGGATTCTTTGGCCACTGACCTCGCACCTGGAGAGGCTGAGGTGTGCCCATGGGAGGTTTCCCAAATTTGGAAGCAACCCTGTGTTGACTCCTGCCCTGGGGAAGGTATGCCTCAGCATCTGTGGGCCCCGTCATCACAGGTGGGGCAGCAAGGCACCCTGGAGCCCACTCTCACCACATGCTGGGCTGGAGCCAGGAGGAGCGGGGTCCTCACAGCTATGCTAGGGGCAGGAGAGAGGTGCCTTGGTATAGGCTGCATGAATGAATTCGAAGCGCTGCTGATGGCATTTCCTCGCGCTCTGTGTACGGGTCTGCAGTCGAGGGCAGCCCCTCTAATTCTCTCTCTCCTTTTTTTGCAGTAAATGAAATCATATGCAATGACCTGTCCAGCGCAAACCCCCACTCGTAGTCGGCACGTCGGAGCTGGCGGAAGCCGTGTGGAGTCGGCTCAGCGCAGACAGCTGGCTTCAGCAAGCAAGAATTTGACGAAATAAACTGAATCCACATCTGGTACCACTCAGAACTTCCAACTTACTGACTGCTGGGAGCTGAAGACTTATGCCATGAGTACAAAGAGGAGGGAGGGAGGAGGAAAAGGGAAGCCGCCACATCTCCTGAAGGAAAAGCCATCTCAAGAAAACAGAAGGGCTGGTGGCGAGGCCATGGGCAGACACTGGCCCTCATTGGAAGGGCCCATGTGGCAGTTCAACCCTCTGCCACCCCTGGATATTCGTGCTGGAAGTGCCTTATTTACCAGACCACGGGATCAGGGCATTGTGGAAGTAAGCAGGAGAGTATTTGTGGAGCAAAAGCTATAAAAACACTTCATTAGGAAGCTTTAGCCTTTGCGTAAATTAATAGAGTTCTGGCAAGCTAGGGGTTGTGAGAGAAACCCAATAGGACTTCCTGATTATTTCCAACTCTGCTGGCTATCCTACACTTGCTGCTTCATGCAGTGAGTTACGGCGGTCTTCCAGTGCCCGATTTGTCGCTCATCACAAGACTCCTTCCTTTGTGTGACTAAAACCGTAGGACTGTTCATAGCAGCATGCTGGGATTTTCGTTTTTAATCTGGCTTTGAACACAGCACAAGGAGTTGAATAGCACAAGATAGGGTACTGAACAAAAAGGAACCCTGTCTGTCACAGGGCGATCTTGGGTTTGCATGTGCGTACATAGATAGGTATATATTTATGTGTCAGTAATAAGTGGTGAAGAAGGAGACAGCAGGGGCTTCCATGTTAGCAATAACCAGTGTCCATCTTGGAGAACGCACCTACGCATGCAGCCGTGGCTCTCCAGCGCCTTCCGTCAGGGTCTGTGGCCCCTGTACAGGCAGGCGGCGTTTTCTTGTCTCGTGTCGCTTCAGCGCTTTAAAACGCCAGAGAGCCGCGCTTAAATGCCCGTAGGTTACCACATGGCAAAATCAGAAAGTAATTGTAAATAACCGTTACAAAAGGAGTGTAATATATTTGTTCAATTATAAGGTTATTATTTCACAGAAGCCTTATAGCTCTCTGCTTCATCTAAGAAAACAATTACCAAAAAAAAAAAAAAAAAGTTTTCATATGCAGGGAGTGTTTTCAGATTAGTTACTGGTCGCGGATAGGCTGGTGTCGGCTTTCCTGCTGCATTTGTACAATTAGCTGCTTATTACAACTGCTAGCAATGACCTATTAGTTATTTGGTTTCATGTAACCAAAAAGCATGGTTTAATTAAAACATGTTTAATGACTGTGCCTTAGGAGTTAACGCCCCCTTATGGAACATGCCTGAACTGCACCCGTGGGTGGAGGTTGCAAGTTAGCCACAGATGTTAGTAAGTCAGAGGAAAGAAGAATCTTCAGAATATCCCTCTATGAGACTGTATCTCACCTTTCTAACTCACAGGAATAAATGAAAGTCCAAAGCCATATTTGAACGTCGGCACACAACTGCCAAGACCTGCCGTGCTGTACAATTAGGCCCTGGCCTGCCCTCGGGCTTCCTTCTGCCTCAGCCCAGAATGTACCCTGTATTTAGTGTCCTGGAGTTGCGTGAACCATTCTTAGTAGACCATCCTAGGAAAGGAGGCGTTTGATATTGGTGTCAGCTATCTTTGTAATTAGAAAATGGATCCAATAAAGCAGTATTATTTTTTTTCCTTTTTCTTTCTTTCTTTTTTTTTTTTTTCTAGATAAGCTAGTCTGAGAATGACTCCTTACTTTATGGGACATTTCTACTTTGTTCTCCCCACATGTGTGCATGTGTGTATGTGTGTGGTGGGGGAGGTGTTGTGAAAATGCCTTATGAAGGTGAAGCCAGCTGCCCACATGATCTTCTAAACTCAGAACAAGTCCTGCTCTAGAGTTGCTCTTTCTGATGCATTTAAAGAAAAAACTGTCAGAAATAAGTGAATTATTTGGGGGAAGTTCTCAAGCACTCTAAACAAAGCACTTCAAAAACACTCATCCAGTGCAGTGGGGAAGAAACTTTTTCTCATGCCAAATATTTTTGCTCACAGAGATGTCCTGGGTGAGGCTTGGCCACCCACGCACTCCTGTGCGATTGCACGGTTGCTTTGAGAGAGCTTGTCTGTGCTGCACCCGGGTCCCCTGCCATCTCTCTCTCCCACCCACACCTCTCCTTCAAACTTGGGTGGGAAAGAGTATCACGCCATCCGCAGACTGAAGCAAAACCTGGACATCCATGGGAACTACCATTTATGTGTCTCTGCTGCTAGTACTTTCTAAAACAAAAATTTCCTGTTTCCTAAGAGTTTGCAGATTGACTCCGAGTATAAGAGAAACCACCTTCACCTAAAGCAAGGCATAGGCATCTGCCCCATGACCTTTCTTTAAAGTGAGCTCAAAAGGTCGCAGGCCCTGGCCAAGAGGAGTAATTCAGGAAGGACAGCGGAGGGTGTGGGTGGATTTCACATTCAGAATCTCGCTCAAGCTCCCTGTGTCTCGCTCTTGGGGTGCCGGGCCAGGAGGCTGGGGAGGAGGATAGCTTTGTGCCACACAGGAGAGGCCTGAGAGCTATGCCGTTCACTGGGAGTTTTGTAGGCCCCATTTTGTCCAACCCCAGTAATAGAATTTCATGTCCCCAAATACAGATTTACAAAATGATGGATGGATTCTGCCTGGGGGGCCAGGTTTCTGCAAATAACCCTATTCAATAGTTTTGTGCCTTTTAGATTGATTTTGAGTAGTGAGGAAAATGTGAAATAAGCCCTCGCTTCGTTTCTAGCAAGGAGGTTGCACAGACCAGGAGGAAGCCACCAGAGTGGATGTGTGGCCCCCACGTTCCCCAGAACCTAGGCTTCACTTCCCAGGATGCCAAGGGACCTCTGTGTGTTCAGCACTGGCTGACCCTCTGGAGTGCCGGCACTTTCCTGGTGCTCACAGGTCTCTTGTAGTGTCATCCTCAGAAGCCTTGGGGACAGAAAGGTTTTCCTAGGCTTGTTTACTGTGAGGAAAGTGGGAAGCAGAGCCAGGACAAGCCTACATCTTCTCTCCTGATCTAAGACTGCAGGATAAAAAGCAAATCTGATAGCTCCCACAATTCTCATAACCAAGTAAGCAGAAGTCTAGATGTGTGGGATCCAGCTACTACCCATGGGTCTTAGGACGTAGGCAGCCAGGGTCCCCACTGGTTGGCAAGGCCCACCTGCCCCTCTGGCCTCACCGAATGCACACTGCCCACCTTGGGGGCACACCCTCGTGGATGCCAGTGGGGTGTCTTCTCAACATAACAGAGTTTTGAAAATGTGATCCATATGAAGTCAGGAAACTGAGTTGGAATTTGTGTGTCTGTCAGATCCTGCAGGGAGGAAGCCAAGATAAAGGACCTTGTTCATAGAAGTCCTTGGTCCATTTTTCTTATTGTTGAAATTGAGATGAAATTCACATCAGCTGGGATGAACCACTTTATTTTTTTTTAATTTTTATTTTATTCATATGTGCACACAATGTTTGGGTCATTTCTCCCTCTTCCCTCCGCCCCCTCCCTTACCCCCCACCCCACTCCCTCCCATACCCCTCCTTACCCCTCGCTACCCAGCAGAAACTATTTTGCCCTTATTTCTAATTTTGTCGTAGAGAGAGTATAAGCAATAATAGGAAGGAACAAGGGTTTTGCTGGTTGAGATAAGGATAGCTATACAGGGCGTTGACTCACATTGATTTCCTGTGCGTGTGTGTTACCTTCTAGGTTAATTCTTCTTGAACTAACCTTTTCTCTATGGGTTGAACCACTTTTAGAGCATGGAATGCAGGGACATTTTGCACATTCATGGGGCTGTGTGGCCCCCACCTCTGTCTAGTTCCAAAAATATTTTAGTCACACCAAAAGAGAAGCTCACACCCATCCCCTGCTCTCCCAGCCCCTGACAGCCACGAATCATCTCTGTTTCTGAGAACTGGCCTGCTCCAGACACTTCCCTGAAGTGAACTCACTTGGTCCTGAATGGGACACACATGGTCCTGAATGGTGACCCACCCCCAGGATCCATTCCCATGGCAGCCTGGGTCCCTGTTTCATGCTTCCTTCCCACCTAGGGCCAAACCACGCTGCATTGTGGCTGCACCTCGCCTGAGTGGCTCTCACCTGCTGACGAACCTGGCTGCTGGGAGATACTGCTGTGAAATTGCTGTGCCTGAGATACTGCAGGCACAGTGTTTGGTCACCTCCTGCTTTCAGCTCTGGGGTAAACGCTGAGGAGTGAAGCCCTGGTCATAATGACAACTGAATGCAGGTCTTAAATTATCCATGCCTGAGACAGACCCCAGCTCACTAACCTAATTTGGAATTACATATGTGAAACACATCATATTTATCATTCTTTATGCCAAAAAAATTAAGTTAGGTCCAAGATGACTAATCATTTGCTTCGACGGAAGCAGAAAGCAGACCCACGCCCGCCTGCGACGGCTCCCAACAGAGCCTTGGGTTTCTGCCGGGAAGCTGGGATCACAAATTTGGATGAGTGTGAGTCATTCTTATGGTGCCAGCTGAGCTCCTGGTGACACTCCTCTTAATTCACACACAAATGAACATGGCCCAGAGAAGACCTTCACACCCAGGGCGAAGTTGACCCTGAGAGGCAGAGCCACTGCAGATCCCATGCGGCCACCACTCTGTTATGGGACCCCATACCTGACTTTCTGCAAATAAAGCTTAGAGCACTCCCAGTTTCTAGGTTGTGTGATCAGAAAGCAGTCACATGTGCCCTTGGTCCTGTTCCTGGAACCAACCGTCTTTCAAACATGGGACCTGTCCCTTCCCCACGACATGACTGAGTAGTGAGTTTCTGCTCAAAGTGCCAAAGTGAATGGAGGGAGCCCTGGGCTGTTCTGTTACTAGTGGACTTCATTATCTGCACTTTCTGCTCCAGGAGCCATCCCTCTTTTTCCAAAAGGGAGGAAGGAAACTACCGATGAGAACTATTTGGGGATGGCCTGAGTCCCATCTAAGGGAAGGTGCTTGCGTGATTTAAGCCAAGGTTGTCAGGCTCACTGTCAGGCTGTCTGTCCCACCAACTACCACCTGTGCTGGCCTAGCCGGGGGCTGGAACAGCAAGGCTCCAAGGCTGGCCTGCTTCCACCCCCTCCCTCCCCATTGCCCCTCTGGGAGGAGAGCTGGCCAAGGCCATAGATTGACCCTCCACTGAAAGGCACTTCCCACACTGTGCATTAGCCAGCTGTGACCCCTGAGAACTGGAGGTTGCTCTGAGGGGTCTCTGGATTGTGTGTCCACCATGTGTTTTCCAGAATTGCCCACCACTCTCATACTGTACATCATACATGGGTGACAGGCCTTCCAAGGCAGAGCAGAGCCACCTTGCACCTTCAGAGTCACTCCTGAGTGACTCTGCATCATGGGCTTTGTATGATTAAAACTAAAGTCTTGAGCAGGAGAATCGAGGTCCTGTATGCATTCACCCACCTGCCAGGGCATCCCCACTTCGTAGGGCTGGCCTCCACAGCAGACCACAGCTCTAAACCTCTGGTGAGGAAGTGTCCCAAGGGGCGGTGGCTAAGACCAAGGCCAATGGTGGCTCCAGCTCCCAGGTATTGTCCCTGGCATGACCCCGGTATGAATGGCTGTATCCCAGCCCATCTTTGGGATGCCCAGGCTTGAGTCTCCCTCTCCCCAGCATACAGGGGTGCCACTCCCAAAGCTGTCAGCAGAGTCTACCTGTGACCTTTGGAGAAACTCCTCCATGCTGCTGTCTTCTCCTTTGGAGAACCTGGGCAAGGAGGATTCCTTTATTCAGTTGTGAGTCAGGGACAGTTCACAAATATTTACACGGCCTCTAGGGGTGTGAGAGGGGAGAGCCAAGGGATCAGGAGGCCTGCAAATGGCTTTCCCCAAAGTCTGGTCTTTCCCCTCCATTGATCTGGGGACTTGGTACGACCTCGTGAAGCTGTGCCGAGAAATGATGCCCGGGGCTCAGTCGGGAAGGGCAGGACAGCTTCTGCCATGATCATGCTCACCCTGGGAACAGACCACCATGCTGAGGAAGCCCACCATGATGAGGCCACATGGGGGTGTGCCAGGGAGTGGTGGGTCCAGCCCAGTCAGCACTAGCCACATGAGCGAGTAAGAGAACAAGGGAACCAGAGGGTGCTGGCAAGTGAGCAAGCCCCAGGGCTTCCCATCCAGCTTTGGGGCTCCTCAGTGGACACCCAGGACAGCAGAGGCCAGCCATCCCTGACAAATTCCACCCTTGTAGAATGAGCATTGTTGCTGTTGTGTTCTCACTAACTTTCATGGTGTGTGTTATAGGCAGAAGGTGACACAAAGAGGGACCCGTGAGGCCCTGAGGGCTGTGACAGGGCCTGGGCTTGTCCTCTGGGGCAGAGCAGGATGGAGCTGACCACATGGGCTTTTGCTGACAACAGGCTCTTGGGGAACAGGGAGCCCTGATGAGAGAAAATTCATTAGCATAGAAATAATAACAGAAGAATAATGGGTCATACTAGCCAGGATGTCTTATGAACTGCTGATTCGGGGTCTGTCTCAGGTTGGGGTCACCACAGAGGAAGGGTCCCTGCAGAGGAAGTGGGGTGTGGGGTAGAACTGGGTGACGGATGTGAAGAGCCTCCCGCAGTGCTGGCCCAAAGCACTTCCTGGGCACCCAACACTGTCCTCAGCCCTGTACAGCCTTCCTGTGTGCAGGACAGAGATCGCCTCCTGCTCCCAGGACCCTGCTGTGGGCACATGTGCCCTTCAAGGAGCTGTCTGAGTGTCAGTTGGAGCCCCAACGCCAGCCCCAGCTCTTTCCCAATACCAATGCCCAGTTCCTCTGTACCCTGCCACCCCCAGGGTACCACCAGCTACCCAGCTCCTGCGTGCTGTCCTGCATCTGGGACTGACGACCCTTGCCTTGTTCTTGCTCTCATGCCCCATGTCTTTCCTACATAGCCAACGTTACTTGGCATCATTCCCTCTGACCTCATGACAGGACTTTGGCGTCCTCATCATGGAGGAAGGACACAATCTCACCGGTCCTCTGCATTTCTGCGAATCTCTGAGTAGTGCTTACACTTCAGCAACAAAGAAGAGAAAATGAGCAAGAAACTTGACCAAGGTCAAGGCGACCCAGAGGTTGACATCCAGCCACAGAGCGAAGTAAGCCATCATGTTCTGACATCTGCAGGTTCCAACACTGACCCCCAGCAGAGTTTCACAGCCATCCTAAAATTGCTGCCTCCTTTTCAAACACAACTGGCTCCATGAAGCCTACAAACAGGCCCTTTTCCCTGCACTCTGGCAGTTCTCTGTCCCAGGAGATAAGAACTGGCTTTTTCTTAATTGCCAAGTCAAAAAGAGTTGAACTGAAATAATTAACGGGACATTACTGCCAGTTGCCTCACTTTACATGGGGGCTTTCTGCTGCTCCTGTGAATGAGAGGTCCAGGACAGCAAACAAAGGAGCACTTCTTGTTGAGCTGTACCCCCCAGCCATGTCTAAGTAGGTCTTAACCATGCTAGATCCTTCTTCTTCTCCTTCCCTCATGGCCTCCTGCTCTTCCTCACGTCTTCCCTGGCCTCTCATCCTCTTCTCCCTTGAAGATCTAAACTGACAATAAACCCAGGGCAATAGCTTAAGATGGCCACAGGCATAGGAGGAAGATGGGGATCCATGTGTCCTTTACACAATCACAGTGTGGGGTTGGGCTGCACATCACAGTGCAAGGAATGAGGACACCAGGCAGCTGCCTTTTTCTCTTTTCACGCCAGGATCTGGTTTTAGTTGTTGTTTTTGGTAGTTTCTAACTTCAAAGGCATCTGTTCATTTTGTCTAAGTTGCAGACTTTAGTGTCATAAATTGTTCATAATTTATCGTATATTGTTCTTAATACTCTTTGTTACTTTCAATATGCAGAGAATACTGAGTGCGGCCCATCCTTCATGCATTTGGATGGATTTCATGCATTTGTCTTTCTCCGTTTCTCTGGCCAGTCGGACCAGGGTGTATCAGATTCGTGGCTTTTTCACAGAAGCAGTTTCTGATTTTCTTGGTATATGCTGCTTCCCAATGTCTCCCTTCCTTATTGTTCCCTTCTGTCTGTTTCTTAAGATGGGAGCCAAGGCCATCAGTTGACCTTCTTTTCCTGTAAGCAAATCGTTAGATGGTTTCCCTCAAGTCCTGCTGGACCCTGTATCCCAGGCTTTTTACATTAGGTTTCACTTCATGATATTCAAAGTCTCTGCGAACTTCAACTTGACGTCTGTCACCCACTGGAAGTCTGTTGTCTTGCAGACTTCTGGGGATTTCCAGATAACTCCATCCAGTTTGTGTGACTTTAGTTTTTATGTTCTTGGAGACTTGTGTCCAGACTGTTGTAACCTTGGCAGTGCTCCAAACATTTGATAGACACGCGTGTTCTGTATGGCTGAGCGGACTGTTGTAGAAGCCCAGTCAGGTCAAGCTGCTCGGCACTGCCGTGGAGCCTTCAGCTGGTGTCCTATCTGCCTGTTGAGAGGCGCTCAACTCCAACTATCATTATGGTTTGTTTTTTTATCCTTGTACTTCCATCAGTTTTGCTTCGTGGATTTGAAACTCCGTTAGCTGGCTGTTTTGGTTACCTAGAACTGCTGCTATGAGCTCCAAACTAGTTGGACCCCTTATTATTATGAAGTTGGCGTCTCTGTCCTTGACAATAAGTACTCTGTGCTCTGAAATCTACCTGGCGCCATAGTAACTAATCTTTTAATTTTTGGCCTTAGCATGTTATACATTTACTCATCTTTAAAATTTTTTAATCCTTTTATATGGGTGTTCTGTAGACGCGTAATCTTGTCTTACTTCTTAAATATAATCTCATCACCTCTGCCTCTTAAATACTATTGTATTTAATATAGTTATTGATATGGTAGAGTTAATCTGCCATCTTGTTATTTGTTTTCTGTTTGATCCATCTGTTTGCTTGTCCCATTTTCTGCCCTCTTTTGGCTTTCTATATGGTCCTGCTGTTTCTCCCGTGTTAGCTTGTGGTTGTGACTCTGCTGTTAAGGTGGCTGTTGGGGTTTATGGGTAGCGTCTTTACCAAGTCCACGTGACAGGGTACAGATCTCCAGCTGTGTGTGTCCTCTTCATGGCACAGGCTTTTCTGCTGTTATCATCCAATGCCCTCCTACGCAAGTCCCACAGAATGCTGTTACTCACTTTCCAGAGTAAATTGTATGTTAGAAAGAGTTACATAGTAACGTGCAAATGTTTCCCATTTTCCCAGGTGGCACTATTCCCAGGGCTGGTCTGCTACTGCAGCTGAGTGTCATTTCAGCCTTTGTGTATGCCTGTTTTCTTTTTAATTTATTTTAGGATACTTACAGCTTTACAGGAAACTGCAAACGATTTTTTTTAATCTCGGGGACGTCCTACTATACCATGATCAGCATGGGGAATCAGATCAGCAGAGTCTGCCGCGCTCACTCGGTCTCACGTACGCGCGTGTATGCATGCGTGTGTGCACATGTGGGCATGGGTGCGTGTACATGCAGTTCTACAAAGCTTTTCTCCCCTGTGCATTTCCGTAACTGCCACAAAATCAAAATGCAGGGCCATCGCCTCAGTCTCTTCGGGTTCCTGCAGCCTTTAATTTGTTCTGCACGTCTACAATTTACTGAGTGCTATAAGTGGGGTGAGCAGCCTGCAGCCTCTGAGCCTGGCTTTTCTCACTCAGCTCAGTGCTCTGAGACCCCTCTGAAGAGCCACTGCTCCGCCAGCTCCTTCCTTCCCGTTCAAAGCTGCGTCTGTGGTGCAGATGGAAAAGCTTGGTCAACTACTCACCTCTGTTTGACTGCTTTTAAATTAATTTATTTTTTTGTAGTGCTGGAGCTCCAACCTAGGGCCTCATGTATACTATGCAAGTGATTTGCCACTGAACTACATCCCCAAGTCCTGTTTGCTTTTGTTTTTGGCTACGATGAATACAGCTGCCATGAACACTGGTGTACAGGAGTCTCGTGAACATAAGCTTCTGTTTCTCTGGGACGAAGGCCCAGGGGTGCACCTGCCAAGTAGTATGGTAAAAATGTACCTTTAGCTCCTAAAAATCCTGCCCAATATTTCCAGGAGCCATTGTACCATTTTTATATTCCCACCAGCAACATAGAAAGTAATGAATCATTACTTTGTACCTAAGCCATCTGATACATGTGTAGTGATATTTTGTTTTGATCTAAGTTTACATGTCCTTAGCGGCTCAGTGGTGCCATGTGCGTCTGTGAGATGGCTTTCCTCCATTTTCTCATTGATTGTTCACTTGCAGGTTCCAAAAGTTCTTTGTGTACCCCAGATGCAAACTCCTTGTCAGAAATGTGACCTAACTCTCCAGCCTCTCATCAGGACTGTTGGAGGGAAACAAATTCCCTGAAGTCCAGTGTGTTACCTTGTCCTTCTGTGGGCAGCTTTTGGTGTCACGCCAAAGAACTTTCACCTAGCCTCCGTCCTGAAGAGTTTCTCTTGTCTTTTATCCTGAAAGTTTGTAGTCTCATGTTTTATATTCAAGTTCACAATCCATTTCAAGTTACGTTTTGCAAAAGGCATAAAGTTAGGTCAGGACTCATCTTTTTTTCTTGCATACCCAATTGATACAGTGCCATTTACTAAAGGCCCCTCTGTGCTTTGGGATGTAGTGATGGACCCTCTTTCTGAGTTCCCTCTCCTACCTCCCTGATCTGGGTCTCTCTCTCCACCAGCATTGGCCTTGGAACCTGGTGAAGTGGCTCTTTCCACTTCATCAAAAACATCCCAACTATTCTAGGTCCTGTGTCTTTCCAGACAAATTCTAAAATAAGCTTATCAGTTTCCACAAAACCATGCTGGGATCTTGATAGGAACTGTATTAAATCTGTAGATCAATTTGGGAAGAATTAACCTGCTTACAATGTCGACTCTTCTAATCCACAAATATGGTGTCTCTTTACTTGTTTAGGACTTTAAAAAACTTCTTTTATCTACGTTTAAATTTTTCAGCATATGTATACTAGCATTTGATTTTCTTTGGCTCAGTTGTAAAAAGTATGTATCGTCAATTTAGATTTCCACATGTGCATCATTAGTATATAGAAATGTGGTTGGTTTTTGAATGCTGATCTGGCCGAATTCACTTATTAGTTCTAGGGGTTTTGTTGCACATTCCTTGTGGTTTTCTATGTAGACAATCATTTCATATGCAAATAGGGCATTTGTTGCTTTCTTTTCTTTGTATGTCTTTCTTTTCTTTTTTTCTTGCTTTATCACACTGGCAAAAATCTCCATTACCATGTTGAGAAATAGTGGTAAGATGGAGGTCCTTGCCTTACTCCTCATCCTAGAGAAAGTATCTATCTTTCCCCATTAAGTATGAGGTTCACTGGGGATTGCGTACATGCCTTTTATCAGGTTGACGACTCCTACCTCACTGAGAGCTTTTATCATATGTGTTGGCTTTGATATATGTTTTTTCTATGAATTGATATGAGTGCATGATTTTTCTTCTTTAGCCTGTCAATAGACTGGATGACATCTGCTTTGTGTTTAAAAGATTTTTTTTTTTTTTCTGGCAAAAGAGCTCTTGATTCACTTTTTTTTCTTTGGGTACGTTACAGATGTTGTTCTGCTGTCATCAGATTCGTGCTGTATCCAGTGAGCAGTCTGCTGCTATTCTTTCCTTTGGTCCTCCATACTGATTGTCTTTTTCCTCTGGCTGCTTTTAAAATTTTTATCTTTCTCACTGGTTTGGGACAACTTGATTCTGTAATTTGGTCTAATTTCCCCTCGTGTCTCTTGTATTTGATGTTCGTGGCTCTGTGGATTTATAATTTTCATAAAATTTGGAAGAAAAATTCAGCAGTGATATGTTCAAATATTTCTGCCCCTGCTCAG